GGTGATCTCTTTCTTAAGTTTATTCAAAATCTGAAGTATCCCCAAACGCCAACAAGGACGATGATAAGACTCACGGCCACAATTACCATTGGCATGTAGACAGACGATGAAACTGAGCTTGCAGCCGCGCATTTCGAACTGACAGAAATAATATCTTCAGAGCTGTTACCTGGTAAATCAGGTTGACTTGTCACATTTGTGCTCCAGTCGAGAGATTCTCCATCTTCTATATTTGTTTTGTTAGAATCTATATCCTTCAACTCATCCAAGGTATTAATATCAGTCGCTTGGACATCCTGCACAAACCAGGTATAAAAGATGCCTCAAGAATCCTAAAGTCATACTAATACTAATACACTCCACGGTAAAAAGACTAATAATATCTCACCTCTATCTCTGCCGATTCCTTTTTAGGGCTTATATAATTATCCTTTAAATTCTGAGGTAGATGACATTGAACTGGTCCAACTTGCATTTTCTTCTGCAAGCGAATTCTTCTAGGGGCACTTCCCTGCGATGTAGAGTTTATAGCACTTGCTTGACTCAAATTTTGCCGAGTCCTCAACTTGATTCCAGTTCCAACAGTTTTGTCAGTGATCACTGGATTGCTCGAACCACCAGATTCCACTGTGTTAAATATTTTAGGTATTTGATTGCCAGAAGAAAAACCTGATACAGATTCGGGTTCAATATAACTGCTATTTGCAGCGTAAGACATTCTGCGCTCAGACTGAACGCTGTTTTGAGCTATACCATAATCATTTTGCCCAGCACCGGTCATTTTGAAAGTGATGTCCTGCTGTGACGGATGCTCGTGCTCTATAGTTTCCATACCTGAGTCACTTTGGAGAAGATACTGTCCAGAATAGAGTGTCATAAGATTAAAAAATGTTAATTTCAATTGTAAGACTAAAGCTCAAGCAGTTCAATTTAAAGTTAACTAGCAAAAAAAAACAAAGCAACTTTTGAATACCTGCTGGGAGATCCCCTCTGATTCACTATATGAATTAATATCCTTAACTAATTCCGATGAGTTAAAGTACAACGGACTTTCAAGGGATGACATTGCATATATGCCTGAATCCTCATAGGGATGCTCGTCTGGATCGACAAGAATCGAGTTCAAGAACTCGTTAATATCAGCAGCATTTGTTCCATATTGAAATGGGTTAGCTCTATCATCGCAATTGATGTTACTGATGAAGGTTTTATCCACGTAAGGAATTCCAAAGTCAGTTTTCATCTGTGAATGCAAAGGGGAGAAGATTTTTGAATCCAATGACTCTGGCATCGGAGGGTAAGAACTTCCTGGTGCTTTCTCCAGCTCTGAGTCTGGCTGAAGAAAAAAATCATAAAAATGTATCATTTATTGGACTTTATTTGATGTTAGAAAAATAGCTAAATCATTTTTAAGTTGACAACACTCACCGGAAATGATGAGTCTAACATGTGACTATCAGCATTGAAGACAGTGTCAAACCAGTCGGGAGGTATATGAGTCTCACTTGTTTCATTCTCAGAATTTAAGGTCGAACTGTTTTCAGCACTTGAAGGTTGCATTTCAACTAGGCCACTCACTGCTGGAGTAATTGATTCCGATTGTTCATCTTCAGCAGGAGGTTTGGCTATCGTAGGAGTAGGAGAAGATATAATCTCTTCAACTTCTCCATTAACGTTGGAATTTTCAGTGTTCTCTTCTTGTTTGATATCAGCCTTTTTAAAAAGGCGGCAGAGCACAAAGGAACCCTGGTAAAAGCATACATCATCAATTACAGCAAGAAGATAAAACAAAAAACATACCATAGATACATAATTTAATTAAATACTGATATCCCATTAGTGGAATGACAAATTTAAATAAATGAACACATTCAATTAACTAAAGGCAAGCTAGAATTCGTACTACCATTTGATGCGAAAATTAACATATAAATCAAATATTCTACAAGCTAAGAATATTAACAACAGACAAACCTAGATGATATGAAAATGTAATTGCTAATGTCCAAACAGAAAAGAAATGGTCAAAGAGAAGTCCCAACCTGACCAGGATGAGTGCCATCAAGTGACTTATCTGTAGCACGATACTCATGTATCACCCAATTACTCCTTTTGCCATCCGGAGCACGACCTCTGTAGAAAACCAGAGTCTTTTTCATCCCAATCTTTACTCCCTTCTTAGACTTAATGGTCCTATCTTTGCCTGTTGCTTTCCAGTAACCTTTTTCCGTAGCCCGGTTCAACCTCTGACCGTTCTGATACTTACGATCCTTCGGGCAGAAGAAGAACCATTCATTGTCCGCCGACTCTATCACAGATAAATCTGCACAAACATAAAGACAAACAAATTCATGAATATCCACACTTTTTTGTCCAAAATCTGTTCAAGAGCTACTTATCAGAAATATAGCAAACAATTTTTAATCTAAATTACTTCATATTAAGACTATGTTCGCCGACAATTGTTTTTTCCACACGTCGTCAATTTTCTGCTACACTTTACTTAAAGATGCACAAGAATACACATTCATACAAGAATTTCACTAAAATACAAAAAATTATCATTTCAGAGGAATTAATGAAAAAACCCCTGAATATCAATTGGGCCGATTCATCTCGAAAACCCCAAAAACCTAATTTTTTAACCATCAAAATCAAAGCACATTATTCAACATCCAACAAATAAAAAAGGAACAAAAGTTATTTATTTGTCCACAAAATAGACGATCATTTCCAGAAAACACAAATAAATTTTTAGATAAAAAACCCCAAAAAAATCAACAACAAATACCAGGCAAGTCCCAAGGCTCTCGTTTACAAACATCAATTTCACGAATAACTTGAACTTCTTTTTCACGTCTGTTTATTTTGAGCCTCAGATAATAATCGATCAGCTCCTCATCCGTCGGTC